ATGTTAACAGCTCGCCATATTGAAACAAGAATGGAATGGGCACAATCTCATATGAATGATGATTGGAGCCATACAATTTTTACTGATGAAACGGCCTTTGACTTGTTTCGTAATAAAATTTGCAGGTGGCATAAAAATGGGCAAAGACCAATTCGAAGATTGCCAAAAAATCGTCAAAAAGTAATGGCCTGGGGTGGCATTTCGTTAAAAGGCAAAACATCGTTATTTTGCTTTACCAATATTATGGATGGACCTTATTACGTCAACATATTGGAGACTCAGCTTTTACCTGCTGCACAGAGATTGTACGGTAGAAACTGGCGTTTACAACAGGATAATGATCCAAAGCACACATCGCGTGTTGCAAAAACTTTTATTGATGAAAAAAGAATCCATGCAATGGACTGGCCATCCAACAGTCCTGACCTTAACCCCATTGAGAACATGTGGTATATCGTGAAAAATAATGTTGAAAAAAGAATGCCAAGGAATGTTGACGAATTGAAGAGATTTATGGTTGAAGAATGGGAAAAAATTCCTCAGGAAACAGTCAAAAATATTATTATGTCTATGAAACGGAGATGCGAATTGGTCTTAGAAAAAAACGGGGATAGAATTTCTTATTAATTTTTTTTTTATTTAATAAAGTATTAGTAGGCTTTTAAATGAACATAATTTTATTTATTTATCTTGCATAATTGTTGCAGTATACGATTTTTTGTGCGCGCCATTTTTTTTGAAACACACTGTATACTTGTGATTATTGTAAAATTAACTTTATTCCCATGATGAAAGATTGTTGAGAAAATTACCAGTTATGATTTCCTTTTTATAGAGCAGAGAATCACAAAGTAACATTTGCTAGTGATGTTTTTCCATAAGCAAAATATAATCAAGATTGTTAGAAGAAAGATTGGAAATTTTCATTGATAATATAAAAATTCCAAATTTAATATTATAAATGAAAATTTCTCAAACAACACAGAGGTAATTTGATTCACATCAGACTTGTATTCCAGGACAAGTCTTCTGAAATCATTATCAAAGGTAAGTGTTTATTTTTAATATTAATATAATAAAATAAACAAGTGATTAAATAATTAATTCGAATTTTTAGATAAAATTGGCAATAAATCTAAAGCTTTATATTTACATGGAATTTCATCATTAGAACAAGCAATAAAGCCTTTGCAACTCCTTTTAGATGTACTGCATGTATATCGAATGCATTGTCGGAGATAACTGTCTATTGAAGAAATGTTCATATGGGAGAGTGAATCACCAAGATAATTCCTTACTAAAGTTGCAATTATAGTTATTTAATTGAAACAAAGCTTGGAACATTTGAATTAATGAAAAGTTTGTTTCCAACAGAACATTATGATGAATTTTTAATTTATAATATAAACTCTGGATTTTTGAACAGTGATAAAGATAATTTGTTAATTAATCATCAGGAAATTTTTAGAGGCGTCAAATAGCATTGAGCACGTCCCTGTTTTTTTTTAACACCGAAAAAGTGATAACCAACAGACCCTATGTAAACAAACAGCATTGAAAATCCATGTTGTATAATATGTAGTAGGCATTCCACGATGTAATAATATATATACAGTATATGTCATTCATTAATAACTTATTTAATCTTGCATGCATTTATCAAAACTATCTTCTTAAGCATGTATTAATAATAATATTATTATTATGCTGCCTACTGTTTCTACAAAAGTGCAAAAGCGCTGATCAACAATGTTGGCATCGAGCTTTGGTGACAAATCAAATATTATTTATTTTGCTCGTTGTTAGTGAACGTTGCTTTAATTATTTTTGCAACATAAGTGCCTAATTGATTATTACGTGGATCAATAAACGTGTAAAATTCATCATATCCCATTTTAATTTAACATCGTTTTTCCATCCAGTTATAATTAAAAGGTGAGAGGCGAGAAACACCAAAAGTACTCATTTCACGTGGCGAACATAGTATCCTCGCTTGCTGATAAAAGCCACGTAAAGAAAACATGTCAATAAAACAAAAATTATAAAACAATCGTTGCATCTTTAACCGCTGAATGTAATTTTTCATTCCAAAAGTTTATCAAATGTAATTTTTTAGTCTTAAGAGAATCCAATAATTCATTAGCGCTATTCTTCCTAATAATCTTACAATGAGGTGTTCCTTTAATTGATCCTCGGTTAGCTGGTAGTGATTATTAAAGACATACCAATTATAGATGTAACTATTTTCGTTATTAAATCTTTAAAAAAGAAACTTACAGTAAAACCGTCTCTGGTTTCCTTTTTATTAGTTATCACTTTTTCCACATACTAATTCGTATCACCAAAAAAAAAATTTATAGTCAAAAAGTATATCATGGCATCAGCTCTTGTTAAGCAAGTTGGCCAAAATAAGGAATTCAAATTCATTACTTTATTATCATATAGAGAAAGTTTAAAGAACGAAAAGGAGGAAATTAAAAAAATCTATCATTTTTACTATTATTATTTTACTTGCTTTATCATCATTACTTTATTAAATATATACATAAATAGAATCATTATAAAAGACAGACTTTTAATAGAATTATTATTTACAATGTTGAAGTGTACAAGAACCTTTTCAAGACGCCCAACACTTTGTAAAACGTAACAATTAACATGAATAAGGAAGAAGTTGATGTACAATGGTATTGTGGAGATAGAAACCAGAATTGTACACGGAATTATTTTAATATTTGTTACACGAGTTAAAGTTCATTGATATTTCTTTATTTGTAAAAATTGTTACGTGACTCTTATGCAGCGTCTAAACTCTTTACAATTAGTCACCAAAGTATTTTTACCTTTATAATTTCAAGAATATTTAAACACTTAGAATTTACTCGAGTTAAAATAACTAGCTCAATGATAACTCTTTAGATATTAGATAGAAACAATTAATAAAATAATTATCTCTTATATACGAATTGTTACCTAGTTAAAGAGGCAAGGCCATTGTGAATTGTTTCGTGACCATTACTAATGATTCATGTTTTAATTATTAGTTAGTGACCTCTTTTAATTTTACTATATTGCTTGTAGGGACGCCTCAACTAGTATGGTTGTATATATTCCTTTTTTATTTTGTTAGCGGGGATAACAGGAAAGTCTAGTCGAGGACTGTAATATATATAATAGTTAGCGATGCTGATCTAGTCGAGGAATAGTAATATATATATTGTTAGCAAGGCTAACGGTAAATCTAGTTCAGGATTAACTAGTGATATAGATTTATTTAGGAAACTAGTGGAACTAGGTATATATTTATTGGACAACCTCGGTTACATTCTCTCAGCATGATTTCCGGTACAAACATAAAGATCAATTTTTTAAATATGGTTGTCCGAGACCCCGCAAACTTCATAGGTAGGTCAGTAACAAAAATTCCTGTTTGTTATATGATTTGACCCAGACCAAATTTAAGTTTAATATATAACTTGACCCTAAGATTTGCAATAACATTAAAATAAAGAACATAATTTGATCCATAATATATACTAACATTAAAAATTTTGAAACTGTCTACTGTAATGAAATTAAACTTTACCAATCAATTGATTTAACTGACAACTGACTATAATAAGTCACTGATTTTTATAATTTATAATACTATAATGATTTTTTTTTAATATAAAAGATTTACTATATATAAAGTATTGGTTTTGTTTTTTGAATGAAGAAAAAAATTTAATTACTGACAAAATTCAATTTATATGAATTTTGACCCAGCCGCAGCAATAACCTATCTATGAAGTTTGCGGGATCCTGGTTGTCCCTTAATAAAATTAGTTGGTGAATTTAATTTTATTTCAACTGAATATATTATCGAATTAATTCATTATTTATCATTGTTATTAAACACATATTGATTTATATATAATAAATCAAGTTAAAGTGTAAATAGCATGGTTTATAAACATAATTACGCAATGACCTGGTGTTGATTAATGTGTTTATTAGCACTTTCAAAATTTCCTGATGAAATCAAAAATTTACTTAGTCTCGATTTTTAAATTAAACCCCTAAGGCTCGGCCAATTTTTAATTTTAAAAAAACTAGCCAGTAAGTTTTGAGGCTTGAGTCATGAGCAATAAATCTTATCGGTTAACTTTTTTAAAAATGATATAATAATAAAAAAATTTTCTTTAGTATTTTGAAACTGACCAATTATTATTATAGTCAAACATTGCCATAGCGGATTTTTGTCACAATGGATTTAGTTATAGTTCTTTTTTAATATTAATATCAATGAAATTTATGATGTATTTTATTAATAAATTCATTCCACAGTGACAATGTATTTTTGATGGGAATTTTCTATATGACTACTAATCTCACCACAACAGATTTCAAAGATTTGTCTAAAATTTCATCTAAAAATAAAACAAAATAGACAATTGAATCATGAAATTCTAAACTAAACAACAATGCTCATGTAGTTGATTTGAACCCACAATACCTCCTATTAATTATTTTAAAATTATCAATATTTAAAATTATTTATCAAATTTATTTACCTTCTTTAAAATTTTCTCTAAAAAAAGATTTCCAAAGAGTCAATTTCTTCTAAAGGTATGTTTGCTTCTACAAGTATTTTTTACTAGATTTATATTAATCCCTTGGCATTCAGATATATTTTTATGATGGTTTGTTGTCTTGGAATAGCTCTGCTAGAATTTTGCACTTCTAATTTGTTTTTTTTTTATGGGAATTACTTCCTCAATTGTTGACTTTCGTTTATGGTCTAGTACATGTTTACAATACAAAATAATTTTGTCCAATCAGCAATAAGATACATTATTTGTGTAGTATAAGTATGCACAACTATGCAGCATTTTCGTATAATGATGTTGGTGATATTAGTATTAATTTGTTCAAAACATATAAAAACGTTAGCAGTTCAATATCTATCATTTTTTTTCATTTTTTTTTCATTTTTTTAATAAAAAACGCTACATATATATATATATACACAAACAAAATGTTTCAACAAACTCTTGATGAACAACAAAATTATGTCCAACTTCAACATCACGTGCAACAAAATCATGATCGACAACTTCAACATCACGTGGAACAAAATCTTAATCCAAATCAACAAACGCTTCAACAACAAATTATTGATCATGGAATTATTGCATTTGATAATCCATTATCAGTTCAAAACATGACAAATGATAACAAAAATAAGGCAGCGCAATCTTTGCCACCACCACAGCAACGCCAATTAGTTTATGTTAAAAGCAACTCCATTAACATTAATAACGATATTAATTTTAATCATCTCGATTTAAATTTAAATGTTTCTTCATTCAATTCTAGAAAAAACAACGAAGACCCGTTTATTACAACAAGTACAGATCATATGTTAATTATTAAAGACTATAGAATGAAGATTAATCAACACCATTTCGAATTGGAACAAATCATCAATATGCTAAGACTTAGAGATAATAATCGCGATTTAAATTTAAATTTAAATTTAAATGTTTCTTTATTCAATTCTAGAAACAAAAATGAAGACCAGTTGTTTGCAGCAATTACAGATCATATGTTATTTATTAATGACTATAGAATGAAGATTAATCAACACCACTTCGAGTTGGAACAAATTATCAATATGTTAAGACGTAGAGATAATAATCGCGATTTAAATTTAAATTTAAATGTTTTTTTATTCAATTCTAGAAACAAAAATGAAGACCCGTTGATCGCAGCAATTACAGATCATATGTTAATTATTAAAGACTATAGAATGAAGATTAATCAACACCATTTCGAAATGGAACAAATTGTCAATATGTTAAAATGTAGAGATAATAATCGTGATTTAAATTTAAATGTTACTTTATTCAATTCTAGAGACGAAAATGAATATCCGCTTATTACAGCAATTACAGATCATATGTTAATTATTAAAGACTATAGAATGAAGATTAATCAACACCATTTCGAATTGGAACAAATTGTCGGTATCTTAAGACGTAGAGATAATTAAGACGCATTTTTATTTATAAATAATAGCGCTTCTTGATTTTTTTTTTAAATAAGAAAGAACTTAGTTCTCACGTCTTATAAATTATTTATTATATAACCTCATTAACATTTATATTTTATATTTTATGCTTATAACCTCAATAACATTTATATTTTATATTTTATATTTTATACTTTATACTTTATTTCTAAAGATTTATGAATATATTGGATTTGTATTATTTTATTATGAAAAAAATAAATCTTTCCATTGATATCTAATATCTGATATACTAAAACCCTGATAATAACAAATTTCTAAACTTTCAGGTTTGAAAGTAAGTAGAATCATTATAATTGCAGCTAAGCAACTTTCTTGATTACCTATGTTACAGAATATCTAGTTCAAAAAACATTTACCGACATTTGAAGTTTACAATAATTGATAAACTAAATTCAATTGATAATTACGGTTTATCAGTTTAGTATATGCCAAAAAATATTTATTTATTTATATCGTTTTATTCGTTATTTTAAATCGACACGAATTATAGAATGATTTATAATGACTGATTAGATTATTGAAGGAAAAGAAGGTTTTGTCAACGATAGTGGTGATAGCATTGAGAGTGATAAATTAACCGAATGATGCTATTACCAGAGGAAGCAAAGCAACGGGAACTGGTGGGTAAATTAGTCGCACTATAAAGAACTAACACTTACTTCAATTGATGATAACAAAATTAAAAATGAAGGTTTATGAAAAAGAAGACAATAAAGAAACCACCCAACAAACAAGTCAGGATTATAAGAAACCTGACGCAAGTAAAGTCAATCATTCTCAACTTGACATGACAATTAGATTTCCTCGAGCAGCAAGTACTAAGACTGTGAAAATTTTAAAGGACTTCTTTTTTTTAAACAATATTTGAGGGGTCTGGTACGTTTCCCCGACAACCGTTTCCCCGACACCGTTTCACCGACAGGACGTTTCACCGACAGGACGTTTCACCGACAGGACGTTTCACCGACAGGACGTTTCCCCGACAAGATTTTGTTAACTATATTTAATATTAATTGGCTAATAAATGGCCTAACCGACTTAAACAGCTTAGTCGCCTAATGAATGGGTTAATAGACTTAAATGGTTTGATAAACTTAGCCGGATATGGCATAGCAGGGAAACAAATAAATATTGTAATACAAAATGTAATTGTCGGGGAAACGTCTAGATACCTCGAAAAATCTATTATTGACTGGATTAATTGAAAATCAGATATTGATTCAATTAATATATTACGACAATAATTATTATATTTGTAGTCCTACTCTAAGCCTAGAAAAAACATCATCAATCTATCATCTTTAAAACACTGTTAGTTCTCAAAACTCATTAAAAAAATAAATAATTTACGAGGGATTTTTCCAATTCTTTCAGAAATAACCAAAAAATTTCCGACATCAGTTTCCAGAGAGAAGTTGTTCCGTGTTGTTGGTAATAATATTACCAATGAGTGCATAAACTTGAAACTGAGTATTATAAAAAAATTGAACTTTTTAAAACAGAATATAAAAAAAGTGAATAGCTTTAATAATAATTTTTATGCACACGTACATAACTAATTAATAAATAACATATGATCTGTAATTGCTGCAAACAACTGGTCTTCATTTTTGTTTCTAGAATTGAATAAAGAAA